CCTCCACATATATATATATATATATCGAGATAGAGAGGGCCTGATGAATAACTATCAAATATTCTCCTTTGAGGTTCCTTACTACAAGTACAGTACAACGCTATTATAACTGTTGAGGCCGCTGTATGGATAGAGTTTAGGTTTCAGAGCCTATGCCCTATAGTGTTCAGGGTCTATATTATATATATATATATATATACACACACACACGCGCGGCTTGGGGCTTCGATCTATTCAACTCGTCGGGCCGGGCGTCCTTTTGGGGTTTGTGCTTCGCTGAGGAATCGCGATGCTCAGTGTCCAAATCCCCGAAATCCTGTATATCCTAAACCCCCAAACCCTTAATCCTAGACCTGTAAACCTCTAAAGACCTAAACCCTAAACCCTAAGACTATGAGCCCAAACCCCATATTCCCTACAACCTGAGCCCTTAATGAAACCAATGTAAGGTTTGGGTCCAGTTTTTAGGTTCAGAACCTACAACTCAAACCCTGAACCCCATTTCACGTCGTGATGACATGTATTCATCTTTCCCAAAGGCTCCATGTACCCATATAGTAGATACTTAGGCCTTAAAGTACCGATATAGGGACCCCTTTAAGGCCTAAGTATCTACTCTGAAAGTACATGGAGCCTTGGGGTTTGGCAGGAAGATGCGCGAGAGCTTCAGGAGCGAGCCGCTTCCTACGTCCAGCGCCACGGCTTCACTCCACACGGATTTCATGCAGTCCACGGGTTGGCCTTGAGAGTTTTAAGGCAGGGCTTAGGGTTTAGGGTTTAGGGTTTAGGGTTTAGGGTTTAGGGCTTAGGGCTTAGGGTTTAGGACCCTAAACCGTAAACCCTAAACTCTTAACCATCTATAAGGTTGAGGGATGTTTAGCCTGGGGCTAGTTAGCATTGGTAATAGGAAATAATGGTGGCAGTGGTATAAGTGTAGGAATTGGGTAGTTGTCAAAATTATGGTCCCTTTTGGTGTACCCGAAATAATAGGTGCCGTATTAGAATAAGGACCCAAGAAGGGACCATAATTTTGACAACCACCCAATTAGTAGGAACTCGTAGAAGTCCGGCCCTGCTTCTCCAAAGAAGCTCTTAGTGTTTTGGGCCGTTCAGGGTTTAGGGTTTAGGGGTTGGGGGTTTAGGGTTTGGGGGTTTATGGGTTCAGGGTTTAGGGGTTTAGGGTTTAGGGTTTAGGAGGCCACTTTGCATTCTTGGGTCCAACTGTTCATGTTGATGATGGGGGATCGCGACGTGACCTTCGGGCTCAGGGTTTAAGATTTAGGGTTCAAGCGGTTCATGCTGTTAGTGTCTGTGTGTGTGTGCGGGTGTTGGCCGAGAGCGATGAAGCAAGAATACTAGACAGGTAGACATGTCTGGCAAATGAGACAGAGACGAGCAAGGAACCAAAGCAGAAATCAAGCCAAATAGGAATAACGAGTGTTTCCAAGCACCAACAAGCGGAACAAGACGAAGCGCAAAGTCAATTGTCTCGATCCCAAGAAAGAAAGTGATCAGGAAATGCGTCAAGACAGATCATGCAGTCCGGTAGAGATAGAATTTCAAGGCCCAACGTCATAACTCGTAACAGTAGCTAGGGTCTAGGTAATGCCCTCAACCCAAAACCCTAAACCCTAAACCCAATGTTGTGCTTTTGTGGTCAAGGTTGTCCCCAGATCCCGAACATGAGTTACACCCCAAGCCCTAAGTCCCAAAAGGTACGTGCAGCGGTGGCGCAGCCACGAGTTGCAACAGGCAAAGACTCTGTGGACTATGGGGCGTCACGGACAAAAACTGTAAGCCCTGCACCTTAAACCATAAATCAGAACTATCAGCGCACCCCTAAACCCTAAACCCGAAGTCAGAACTATACGCGCGCCCCTAAAACTTAAACCATAAATCAGAACTATAAGTGCACCCCTAAACCCTAAACTATAAATCAGAACTATAAGTGCACCCCCCAAAACTTAAGACATAAGTCAGAGCCATTGAGGAGCCCTAAAGACATGGCAATTAGTCAGGACCCGACTACTATAGAATCCTTTAAATACTTACCGATCTTATTCCTTTGGGTTTAGGGTTTAGGGTTTAGGGTTGCTTATGACTTATTAGACTTATACTGAGGAGCCCAATAGGTAAACTTTAAACTGTTTTGGTATATTAAACTACTACAAGAAAAGTTTAAACTTTTTTGGGCCAGGGTATTGGGCCTAAAGGTATAGTATAGAGGAGCCCAAAACCCTATTCTAACTATCAAGGCGCCTACACTACTCAGAACGGAACAAGCTTTCGATTCCCTTCCCTGAGCAGGGCTTCTATGGCAACCTCAGGGCCTCTGAAACGCACAGCGATTTGGTTTAGGATTAGGGTTTAGGGTTTAGGGTTCAGGGTTTAGGGTTTAGGGTTTAGGGTTTAGGGTTCCTTCCTGAATCATACTGTTTAGGCTGAAGGGCTTTGCGGTTTTATGATGATGATAATCATGGTCACAATGATAATAGTAGTACTAAGAATGCCAGTAAGAATCGTACAATAGTAATGAAAGTAAGCAAGATGATGATGATGATGATAATGATGATGATGATCATGATGATGATGATGATGATGATGGATGTTGGAGGCGATGGTGCTGCCTGCAGTGGTGGTGGCTCTCCCCATCTTGCTCTACTGTACGAATGCTAGTCGCCCGTTTAATGACTGCCAGCTTGCAGGGTTTAGAGTTTAGGGTTTAGAAATAAAGAGTACTGCTGATGCTATAAATCCTGCATTACCTTAAGGACCCTAAACTATCGGAATTTGGGTATATTCCTTATTATGGGTAATGCAGGATTTATATCATACCCCACCCTAGACCCCAAACCCCGTAGCATCTTGATCTGCCTTGGTGGGAATGTTGCAAGGTGGCCACGAAGCACTGGGTGCTGCGAGCCAAGCTGATTCTTGGCTGCCTTCAGCTGTCCGACAGAGCTTGGCTTAGGTTTAGGGTAGAGTTTAGGGTTTAGGGTTCGGCTAAGGATGTTAATATCTGTATATATATATATATAATTATGGCTGAATCTGAATATCTAATCACAGAATTGCCCCTTAGTTCCTCTACAAGTACACTGCACAATGCCCCCGAAACCCCGTTCTGTGCATCAAGGTCCCTGAAGAACTAGCAATCGAATTCCCGCGCCGCTCAGCCATAAGTACACTGCAGCCGCTGCAGTGTACCCCAAGCCCTTGCTCAAATTCTCAAGGTCCCTATTCTGTTCCCATATAGTGCCCTTGTGTATTCTTGAAATGAGCCCTTCAGGGGATCCCATTCTACTTCTCAAGATCCTTTAACAGGACTATCAGGATATCAGGACAGAAGAGGGGGAGAGCCGAAGGCAATCTTGGGCTGCAGGGCCTATGTGTTCTAATATGCAGGTTCTGAACCATGCGTACTCACATCCTCCGATACTCCCTATATATAAGTAACATCTAACATACCCCACGCCCGTGTAAGAACCCTCATAGAGGCTATGAGCGAATCTTGGTGAAAAGCTTGTTGAGGCCCCTGCATTCAAGTTAACATCTTTGGTCTTAAAGCAACTTACCTTATTCTGATGGCTAAGGCCCCTTATACTACACCCCCAAAATCCCCTTATAGTAGCCTTCACAGAACCCTTCAAAGATTCCTTGTTGAAGAAATCCTGTTTCAATTTCATAAGGCGCCAGAAAATTAATTATTGATAGAAACCTTGTTTAGACACCCTATTCCCCTAATCCCTTCTAGAAAGCTTACAGACCCTTACCTAAATGCCAAGCCCTGAACCCTTATTGTAAGCGTAGTACCCCTTTAAAAGAGCCCGATAATATACCTCAAAGCCCCCTATGCCAAACACGCATACAACCAAAACAGCAACCCTTCTAAGGAACCCTCTAGGGAGCCGTGTTCTAAACCCTAAACCCTACACCCTAAACCCCTAAACCGTAAACCCCTAAACCCTAAACCCTAAACCCTAAACCCCTATACTCTTGAAAATAACAATGCCGAGCCGAGGAACGACTTGATGAAACACCTTGATCGGCTGAGAGCTGCGTGGCAAAAGGTTTTGGCGTTTTAGGGTTTGGGGTTTAAGGTTTAGGGTTTAGGGTTTAGGGCTCAGTTCACGGGCTTCAAAGGTTTGGGGTTTAGGGTGTTTAGGCTTTTACTTGGTGCTTTGGGGTTTAGCTTTGAGGTTAAGGGGTTTGGGCTTTAGGGATTTAGGGTTTCAGTGCTTTGGGGTTTTCGGGTTGTTGCTGTAGGGTGTAGGGTCTAGTGTTTCAGTGTTTTGGCGTTTTAGTTTCAGGGTTTTGCGGTTTCAGGCTTTAGGGTTTTAGTCCATTGGGGCTTTAGGAGTTGAGGGTTATATACGGGGTCAGAGTTTGGGGGTTTAGGGTTTAGCAGTGTTCCATAAGGAGTTGCTACCTTCGGGTTAAGGGGTTTAGGAGTGGAGGGTTTAGCAGTGTTGTAGGGCTTTGGGTTGAGGCTTAAGCCTAGTTCTCGGTTGGTTAGGGCTTAGGGCGTTTAGGGCTTAGGGTTGTAGTGTTGCGGGTTGGGGCCTTCAGAGTTAAAGGTCTTCTTCCAGAGATTGAAACATGCGGGTCTTCCTGCTATTCTTGGCGCAAGGGCAGTCGTACTGCTGCCCGGAAAGGCATTCAGAGTGGGGCTTTGGCAAAGCTACAACTCCTAAGCCTAAACCCGTAAACCCCTAAAACCTAAACCTTAAACCCCTAAAACCTCTCGACTGTAAACCCTAAACCATCCTGGATTCAACTGACTACACGACGCTGAGGGCTCCAAGGGTCCAAGATGTGGGCAACCCAAAACCTGGAAAAGCCAAGCCCAAATACCAAACCGCAATCTCTTCATCCGAAACCGTACATACGAGCCCGAAGCCCGAAATCCCTGAACCCTAAACCTCAAGCCCTACCTAGACCCCCCAACTACCTTCTATTATACCCCAAATACCTACTATTAGGGACCATAAGGGCTCCATTAAAGGGCCATTGGGGGGTCCTGGTACACCCATAATCCTAACATCCTACACTCTGACGTCCTAGAGGCTTTCTGGGTGGACCAGACGTCGACGCTTTCCCTTCGGACCCAAGGAACAAACAAGGCCTGCCTGGCAGCGATTCTGGCCGGAAGTCGGTTTCGGTTCAGGGTTTAGGGTGAGGCTTTAATTTCGAGTTTAGGGTCAGGCTTTTATTTAGGGTGTAGGGTATGTAAGGCCTTAATTTTGGGTTTGGGGTAGGCTTGAATAGTGTTTTAACTTAGGGTTTGGGGTTCAGGTATTCTGTAGTTACGATTTGCAAGCATCAAAGAGGATCTGGCACCAAGACAGCCGTTGCCCAAGGCCCGAGTACATATCCAACATTCCTCGGAACCCTAAACCCTAAACCCTGAACCCTAAATGATCATCCAAGCATCACCCTTTTTGCGGCAAGACGCCGCTGGCGTCGGTCGGGGCTCGAGGACTTCGTGCTCTCGAGCGCGGCGGATGCCCTACGCTGCGCCGTGGAGCACGGGTTGTTGAATGACGGCAGGCCCATCGTCCTGGACGACTTCACGCAGGAAGTCGGATCGCAGGAAGGGGAGAATCACTTGCTTAAACTCCTTCCCGGATCAGGGCCACACGTGGACGCAACGCTGAAGGGCAGGTACTGGGCCGTGCAAATATATGGGCCAACACGTTCAGGTTGATCACGACCCAGACCCTCTACAAGCTTTGCCATGAGCTTGAAGCCGCTTCTTGGCCTTGATAATTAGAATAGGGTTTTGGGTTCCTTTAAAGGGTTCCTTTAAGGGTTCTATAGCTACAGATCGAGGACCTCCGGAAGAGAATGGATTCGGATGCTCACGCCATCCTGGAGCGTGCGTCTGCGTGGTCGTGACGAAGAGCGTGGTCAAAGAGGACGTTCTGAACCCAAAGGGTCTAAGTACCTATATAGTAGATATTTTGGGCCCCAAAGTATCTACCATGTTAGTACTTAGACCCTCTGGGGAAGGCACAGGAGGAGAATCGGGCCCGAGGCAAGAAGCGCCTCATCGAGGAGGTCAGCCAGGAGTTTAGGGTTTGGGGGTTAGGGTTTAGGGTCTTAGCTTTTGCCGTCGCTTGGTACAGATGCCAGTGACCTTCCCGCTACTACTCAGAAATCCACCGTCAAGCCTAGCAGCGTGAATCTCAGAGGGTCCATGTGTAATACTACCATTATGGAATTAGGTCCCCAAAAGACCATCCTTATTTATTATGTTTTGGGGCACCTAATTAATACGAGTATAGAAATGAATTTAAAAATGAATAAATAGATAAACATAATTATGTATATATACATATTTATTTATTGTATATATATATATGGATAGCACCCTCTTGGAAGCCGGATCGGAGATTAGGGCTCAGCTTCTACGTTTTAGCGTTTATGTAGCTGTCGATTTAGGGTTTAAGGTTAGGGCTTAGGGTTTAAGGCTCAGTTTCGAGGGTGGCTTACGGGTTTAGGTTTTAGGATCTTTTCGGACTTAAGCCCAGGAGTATACAATCTGCGGCGCCCCCAATCATTCTTGCAATTTCTACACCACCAATGCCCTAAAACTCCACTGTCGGAAGGAAGGGCTTGTCCATGTAGTGTCATGCCATGGTGCTTGGAATGGCTGGTAACGAGCTGCTGTTGTTCGTGTAGCCGCTTGTTTCGTTGTCCCCCTTGCGTCTTGCGTGTTTTTTACATCGTTTTCCTGAGCCGTGATCCTTCATTCATACTCCACCATCTTGAACCTAAGCCCTAATCCCTAAACCCGTAATCCCTAAGCCCGTTTTACCAAGAGCGTAAGGATTCATCATGTGATGTGTGCCACTGCGGCACACGGTTCGAGATCTAGTCATGAGCTTTCACTGTATTCTTGTTATAGGGGTCAGATAACTTCGAGAAGCTTTGGGGGAGAATTCATTAAACGGACTACAAAGGAGTCGGAATAAGATTCAGACCATCGTAAAATCTCTTCTCTAAGCCCAAAGACCTGAAGCCTAAACCCTATACTAGGAACGGGGTTAAGAAAACCCTCGTTCCAAAGCCCCAAGACATTAGGATCCATATTAACTCGAACCCTAATAAAGGCCCACATTTTCTCAATCAGGTTCCTGGATTAGGCCCTAAACCCTGTACCTTAAACACCTAAACCCTAAACCCCAAACCCTAAACCCTAGACCCTAAACCCTATACTACTATACCCTATAAGCCCTAAACCCTAAACCCTAAACCCTAAACCCTAAACCCTAAACCCTAAACCCGCGGTTTGTATGTTCGGAGTGCCTGGACTTTGAGCTCCGAGGCCAACTCCGAGCTGGTCGACTCCGCGAAAGAGGCGCAGACGAAAGCACTGTCAGGGTTTAGGGTTTAGGGTTTAGGGTTTAGGGTTTAGGGTTCAGGGTTTAGGGTTTAGGGTTCAGGGTTCAGGGTTTAGCATTTAGGGTTCAGGGTTTAGCATTTAGGGTTCAGGGTTTAGGGTTTAGTGTTTAAGGTTTAGGGTTTTAGGGTTCAGGGTTTATGGTTCAGGGTTTAGGGTTCAGGGTTTTCGGTTCAACCTTGAGCCCTAAGCACAAATCCTGTGCCCCAAGCCCCAAATTTTCAACCAGAGCCTAAACCCTCAATCCTTTTTTATCCTGCAAAACCTACGGCTAACAAGCCCTGAAATCCGAACCAAACCCTACAATCCTTAACCCTAAGCCCCTAAATCCTAAATCCCTAAACCTTAAATCCTATAAGCTCTAAAACCCTAAACCCTAAATCCCTAGACCCTAAACTACTAAACCCTGAAAACCTAAGCCAAAACCCCTACACCCTCAGGTGGAGACCGAAGCTTCGGAGGAGCTCCGCAGAGCTTGGCGGGTGCGGCTTTTGGACCTTTGCCTGCCCCGTCCTCGGCGCAGGAAGGGGAAATCTGTGAGGTTTAGGGATTAGAATATAGCAGCCTGGGGGTTAATATTTGAAGGTTCAGGGGTTTATGTTCGGGTTCAGACTTGAAGGTTTAGGGTTTAGAGTTGAGGGGATAGGGTTTAGAGATGCTCACTAGTGCTTAGGATCTCGGGTTGGGATTCTAAGTTTTGTGTTTTATGGTCTTCAGGGCTACTTCACTAGAACCAACTTAATCGTAGAATTTTGCGAGTATCAACGAGAGCCAGTTACCAGTCAGAAGGTACCTGCATGCATGTATGTGTATGTGTGTATTTGTATATATATATATATATATGTACACACACATATTCTAAGGCTAAACCCTAAACCCTAAACCCTAAAGATCATGATCATGTAACCTAAAGATTCTAGCTTTTTCAGGTTTTTTTTTTCAAGGGTTCAGGGCAGGGCCTCCGAGTCTTGCAGTCAAGGTCTGGAGTTCCTTAGGCTAAGCCGTCGGGAGTGCGGCAGATGATCCCGGGCGCTCAGCTGGGTGTTGGGGTTTAGGCTCTAGGGTTTAGTAATTAGATTGAGGGTTTAGGGCTTACAGGGTTTAGGGTTTAGGGTATTAGGGTTCAGTTTCCAGGGTGTAATAACGAGGTTTAGGGTTTAGGGCTTATAGGGTTCGGGCTGCGTAAAAGGGTAACAGGGTTCAGGAACAGCCATGCTTTCACGTAGCAGCTGCGATCATACATGTGCAGGCAGAAACGACTTGTGGAAGCCCTAAACCCTAAACCCTACACCCTAAGCCCTAAACCCTACACCCTAAAACCTAAGCCCTAAACACTAAACCCTAAAACCCTAAAGCCCTAAAAACCCTAAAACCTAAACTCTAAAACCCTAAACCCTAAACCCTACGGCCGTGCGCAGACCAACTCAGAACAGTGGGTTTAGGGGTTTAGGGTTTAGGGTTTAGGGCAGCAGCCACCCATTTCAAGTGGACCTACCTCACAGGAGTAGTCTCGTCTGAATCCTCTGTAACTGACGAGGAACATAATAGACCCCAAACCCTATAAACCCATGACCCTAAACCCATGAGCCTAAACCCTACGCCCATGACCCTAAACCCCAAGCCCTAAACCATAGACCCTAAACCCTAAACCCATGATCCTAAACGCTGGACCCAAGGCTTGCTTTGTTCACTCGTTCCCGACATATCAAACCCCAAACCTCGAGGCTATATTTCCAAAACCCTAGACTCCCCTGCCAAGAGGGTTGGGGGTTTAGGGTTTTAGGGTTTAGGGTTGAGGGTTTAGGGTTATTTGGGGTTTAGGCTTTAGGATTAATTTAGGGCTGAGGGATTAGTGATCTTAGGAATTGTGACTATGTGGTTATTGCTCCGAGGGGTGATCAAACTTAGTTTTGCGTTTCTATTTTGTTCCAGGCCGGGCCATAGACCCACATAGTCTATATTTACGAGTGTGAAATTACGGCCACAGTTTAAGCTTCATAAACCCTAAACCCTAGACCTGTAAACCCTAGTTTAAATTTCTCAAACCCTAAGCCCAAAAACCAAAACCCTATAGTTTAGACTTCATGCACCCTAAACCCTAAACCCCTAAACCCTAGTTTAAAGTCCATAAACCCTAAACTCTAAACTCCTAAACCCTAAACCCCAAACTCCTAAACCCTAAACCCTAAACTCCTAAACCCCAAACCCTTCATGGGCACATGGACCCTCGGAGAAGTTCTTCGAGCCCGAACCTGCTACCCGGAACCTGGAATCCTGGGGGTACTTAGAAATACTTTTTAATCTTTGGCTAGTATAAACTCTAAGAAGCAGCTAAAATTATAATTTTTGCTAGGGGTCTAAGTTCAGTATAGGAATCCTGGTTCAGGGCTTAGGGGGGTCTTAGTAGCTGGGGTTTCAATCAGGTAACCTTAAATTTGGATAAGGTAACCGACCTTCAAGTACAAGTTTATGTGAGGTAAGTATGCTTTTTGATTCTGGGCTATCCCTAGTTATGCAAAATACATGCAGTCATAAGAACTTACAGGCACGATGAGGGAATCTATCTAAACCCTTAACCCTAAACCCTAAACCCTAAACCGCCTATAATACTTTTTGCAGCGATCCTCGGTCAAGGCAGACGGGCTGCCCTCAGGAGGAGATCGAACCGGTTTTCCGCAAGTTTGCCAAGGAGAGCCCGAGACCACAGAAGGATTCGAGTGAGGGTTTAGGGTTTAGGGTTTAGGGTTTAGGGGTTTAGGGTTTAGGGTTTAGGGTGTTGGGCTCAGGGGTACTTAAAGGATCGTGGGACTTAGTAAATAAGGTTATAAGTCCCTTAATTGGGACTTAGTAGGTAGGGTTATAAGTCCCTTAATTGGGGTTATAAGTATAGTTACCTTAGTTATAACCCTACTTACTAAGTCCCATGATCCTTCAAGTACCTCGGCTTTATGAATCCCGAACCCTGACTTGAAGGTGTTCGGGTACAAGTTTCCAGGGTCCCATCTGATGTTGGCTTGTGGGCTGCAGCAGCGACTGTGGCTTGGGGATTGTAGCACGCGTTTTGATGCATGCACAACTTGAGCGGTTCGTGGATTGCATGTTGGGACACTCATTCTAGTTTGGGCAACAAGGGCGTTCCCTGGGAAGGCCCGTTAATTGCAACCATGGCAAAGTGACAAGCACTGTCATTCCTGTTTTGGTAGTACTGCTGGCAGAACGTTTTCATACATCATAACCTACAAGGAGTTGTGGGTTCCATGTTAACAGCCGTGAGCATGGGTATGGTGTTGAGCGGCAGTGCGGTAGGGATGCGTCTGGTACCCTTGCGCCGTACCGCGGCTTGAAAAGGCATCGTCACAGTCGTGGTTGCCGCGCCGTACCTCGCAGTTTAGTCTTGGCTGGTGTGCTCGTGGTTTGCAATTAGACAGCAAGAAGAAATGGCGATGCTAACAACACAGACACAAGCTGCAGCTCTGTTTTTCAGCACTCATACCGCAGGTAAGTCTAGGTCATGCTGCCTGTGGTGGACAAAATCTAACAACAAGAGCTGTAGAGGCTTCAATAAATCACTGTGGCAATGTCGGGGGGCCGGGGGAATGCCTGCGGCGAGAACTGACGTTCGCCTGTCCCAGTTCGTCCGCCGCGTTTTCAGGTTAAGCTCCGAGTGGTAGACAACCCCCAGCACCAGCCCGTCTAAACTGGCCACGGTCGGTTTAGGTTGTAGGTTCAGGGGGCACCTACAACTTCCCGAAAATCTCGAACCCCTAAACAGCAAGCTGTTTGAGACCGGGTCCCTGAAAGTTCCTTAAACCCTGCTTTGCACAGCATGCACCTGCACCTTAGCTCAGGACACCTGCAAGCAAGATGATGCATCTACTACAACATGCAATAATTAATAATTATTCCGCATGCCATGGACGCAATGTCCTTTATGCTTCAAAATACGTATCTTGATCCCGAATATCATGGCCGCATGTACATAAAGAGCTTCTACTGTACACTTCAATGTGACTGACTTACTATACAGTCTGTATCCATTGCCCAAGTTATTCTTGTCTCCTCGTGTAGAATATCCTAGATGTCGTTTTTGGCAAAAGAAGATGACAGCTTGCCACTTGGCAGGGGTCAGTTTTGTTCCTGGAAACAGTGCGAGGACCAAGAGATTGATAGCAACGTGCCAGTAGACGGAACCCCTACATTCCCTACATCCTAAACTCCAAACCCTAGCGTAAGACGACAGTAGTTTGATTATAAGTTGGATCCAAGTGCAGCTTCCGACAACCGTTGCAGGAAGTTGGCATTTGTGATGAGCTGGGCTGCTGCCTCGGAGAACTTCTTGTTTTGATTCCACTTTCAGTGATGTGGCTAAGGGACTTATGGCTTAAATTGTTGGGTTTAGGGTCCCTAAACCCTAAACTCCTAAACCCTGTATCCATCCCTGTTGTCCCAAATGGGTTCGGGTTTAGGGTTTAGGGTATCTCCACTGTCCCAGCTCGGTTCTACTTGTACGGGCCTACAGTCAAAGGCGATCTTCAGTCGAACCAGCGGCCGACAGTTTAGCCCTGATTTGGGTTTATGGGTTTATGGGTTTGGGGTTTAGGGTTTAGGGTTTGGGTTTATGGGTTTGGGGTTTAGGGTTTAGGGTTTAGGGTTTATGGGTTTGGGGTTTCGGGTGGCCCTGATGCCTTTAGCACGCCTCAAGAGGAGGTACTTCTGGGGTTTGTAGGGCTTAGGAAGTGGGGTGACCTGTTCTTTTGCATGTGCTTAATTTCCGTGACAAAGAGCACCGAGTATCCCGCCTGAAAGGAGAACCCCAACCTTGAAGCAGTAGGTGCTGTTCGCTGTTTCTTGAAATGAACGGTGCTAGAATAAGAACACCCCAAACCCTAAATCCTAAACTTTCAAACAGTAAGCGCCCGTCTCAGTGGCTCCTCTCTCTCCCCCTTTTCCACCCGAAGCCCTAAACTCAAGCATGAGGGTTCCTGGGGTTTAGAGTTCGATCACACCCTAGTCCCGCAGGTACGTAATATATATATATATATATATATTATATATATATATATATTATAGGGTACTGTACTGGAGCCCCTAGGGCCCTATATAGTAGGTACCTGGAGAGTTGCATCAGACGTGTTGTTTTTGTTTCGCAATCTCGGGCTCTTAGAGTTTAGAGTTTAGGGCGGAGGTTTCCCGTACGTCTTAACAAATTTGTGCTGCTGTAGGAGCACTGTAGGGGTTGTGAACTACCCAGAGAATCCAAATTTCCCCTCAACTTAAGGAACAGACGTTAAATTATGTATTCGGGTTCCTATTAGAGCTTAAGGGGTATTCCCTAATTCTGATACCCTAAACCCTAAACCCCAAACCCTAAACCCTAAACCCTTATATATATATATATATATATATATAGATGCCTTTAAGGAACGCCCTAAAGGGATATTGCTTAATTTGAAAGGGGCCTGGAGTCCCTGCGAATTGATACTTCCGGAACTCGTAGACGCTGACGTCTAAGCCTTAGGGTTCAGGGTTTAGGGTTTTAGGGTTTTAGGGTTCAGGGTTTGAGGTTTTAGGGTTCAAGGCTTTAGGGTTTTAGGGTTTTAGGGTTCAGGGCTCTAGGGTTTTAGGGTTTTAGGGTTCAGGGTTTAGGGTTTTATGGTTCAGGGTTGAGGGTTTTAGGGTTTAGGGTTTAGGGTTTGAGGGTTTAGAGTTTAAGGTTTAGGGTTTAGAAAGGGGAGTCTAAGCAAGCCCTTTCATCTCGAAGAACACCTAAAATCTCATGGAACTTACGTTTTGAGGGTGTTTAAGTGATACACCGTAATGAAAACACGTGTCTAACAGCTAATACGTAAGTTCAATGGGGGTTAACCCCCATTGAACTTACGTTGTTGGGGGTTTAAGTGTTACACTCTATAGTAGAAGCCCAGAAGTTGGAAACTCAACAGCCTCAATCCCTAAGAGTCATGTATAGGGAATCCCAGCACTATGTTTCCTTAATCCGGTTTCCAACTTTACTATAAAGGAACCCTTATAGATCCCTTAAACGAACCCGGAGCCCTGATAGATTCCCTTTGGGTGTACCATAAGCCCCCCTGAACTTACGCTTTTCTGGGGGTTTCAAGTCTCTAAACGGAAGGCTTGGAGAAGGCGGAAGAGGCCACCATACAATTGTTCGAGACCTCCGTCGTTTCGCTCATGAGGCTCGGGGTTCGGGATTTAAAAGGTTTGTTCTTTTTGGGAGTTGGGGTTTAGGAGGGGTTTAGGGTTTAGGGTTTAGGGTTCTTTTGGGGCCTAGGGTTTACGAGTTAGAGTTTAGGATTTAAAGGGTATGGGACACAGCAAGTAAGGTCATAAGTACCCTAACAGGGATTATGAGTGATGATAACTGTAGTTCCCTTATCCCTAAACCCTAAACCCTAAATTTGTTCTTTTTGGGCCTAGGGTTTAGGAGTTAGAGTTTAGGAGGGGTTTAGGGGTTCAGGGTTTAGGTTGGATTTGGGGTTTAAGATGGGATTGAAGGCTTGTTTCTTTGAGTTTGGAGAAGTTCAGGTCAAGGGTTGTTGGGTTTAAGTGGTTCGTAAGATTGCGGAGGGAAGGCTTATGGGCCATTATAGGCATGGCTTTGGGGTTTGCACGTTTGCTCCACCTAACATCGTTCGATGCTGTCGGGTTCGGAGCATACGAGCACAAACAAGTAGGAAATGGCAAGAGCGACTGACAGCAGAACGTCAGTCTCGTGGTATACTGTGATGACAGGCAATGACAGGAAATCAACGGAGTGCCCATCCAGAAGCGATTGTAAGGATCCCATAGGGCCAGAAGAGCAGCATGCGCTCTTGGACGCCCCAAACTCAAACATTGCTCTACCCATTGGCCCCATAGTTGTTCCTTTTTGGGATTCCCTGCTAGGATCCTAAAATCCTAAAATATAAGCCACAAGAAGGAACTACTATGGGGCCTATGAGTAACCCTGAACCCTAAACCCTAAACCCTCATCCCTAAACCCTAAACCCTTGGGTGCAGGGTCTTGATCAGGAGTAGTTCGAGCTCCAGACCCTTCCTGCATGGCGAAGTCCCAACAGACCGGATGGCCGAGTCCTTCATCACCAGTCCTAACGGTTTAGGGTTTAGGGTTTAGGGCAAACCAACCAACCAACCTAAGCCACACAGATGCAAGACACCGGGGCTATTTCCCCCTTGCCAGAGATCCTCAAAATTATTCCCCCTGGCCTGAGATCCTCAAAATGTCGGCAAAAGGACCCGTGAGCTTCAAGTTCTGCAGCGCATCACCGAGGAGGAGGTCCAAAACCGCGAGGCACCCTGGGGCCCCGAATAGCGGTTTACCTAAACACTCCAAAAGTAGGTAAACTGATTTCCCAATCCCTCTAAAAGGCTATTATTCTACATGCATGTGGGGTTGGGGTTGAGGGAATCGGAAAGGGCCTTCATTTCGCTCAGTAGCTGAATAGGTAATCTAGGTAGCCTAATCTCTTGGTGAATCATGCAGAAAAGTGTGGGGAGGGGCGGGCGTGCTCTTGCTGGTACAACATGCTAGTGCACAAGGCAAGAAAACAAAGGCTGGACGTCGAAGTAAAAAGGTCGCCATACCTGGTTAATCTGAGTTAGATGGGGGCATGCCAGCAGAATGGAGAATCTTAGGAACAGGCACTGTGCACAAACACAGTCTACGTTGCCCGAAGGAAGCCCCAACACGTGCACATTTACAGGGCAGTTCTGTTAGATCTGGAACCCGGCTTGTTTCTTCCTCCCCTTGTCAAAGACAAGACCATGGAGTTGTTTCCCCCCCCCCCCCNNCCCCCCCCTATGACCCCCCCCCCCCGAAACTAGCTCTTTCACTAAGCTTGCTGAGCAGAGGACTCCGGTTCGGCGGTCCAACCCCCTAGAAAAGTGTTGAACCAAACCACGACACTGAGCGCTTGCTATGCGCTTGCTAAGCACTCGCTAAGCACTCGCTAGGCACGGTCGATGCAAATATATCGCACAGATCAACATACCAGAGTGGTGAAAGGGGTTCGAGGCCCAACAAAGCATCTGCTGAGAGACTGTCGCCTGCCAAGCCCTTAGCAAGCTACTAGTAAGGTTTCTTGGGGGGAGGGGGGGCATAGGGGGGGGGAGGTAAAGTCTCCATGACAAGATCTTTGGATATACGTGGCCAAGGACAACGGTTCCTCTTTTTCCCGGCGTGTTTTTTGGTTTTCGGGCTTGGGGTTGAAAGTGGTTCGTGGGTATTTAGCACAGCTCCTAGCAGCTGGCGTGATGCCTGGCTTTGCATCCGATTGTCGGATGAAGAGTTTTAATTAAGTTCGATTTCCCCTGAATGAGTTTCTCCACATGGAAGATGTAGCCCAAAGGGTCTAAGTACCCATATAGTAGATATTTTGGGCCCCAAAGTATCTACCATATTAGTACTTAGACCCTTTGGGTAGGTTGTCTGGATGATGCTTCGCAGGCAGAGCTGCTCGAGCGGCTGCGGGAGCATGCGCGTGGGCAGATTGCGGTGCCAGTGCCGAACGAGGTGAGGCTTTCTGGAAGACATCGCACTAAGTCGTCCTGTGTTGTTTCATTGTGTTCCCAAACCACTGCAGCTTCGATGAATTTAAGTGTGCTGTTGGCGTGAGACGACACATGTCTTAAAATTACATGTTGATCTATTCATGTATATCCTTACTGCTTTCATGACGGTCGCGTGCGTCCTCCTGCAAATCATGCATGTGCAACAGCCTCGCATGGTTCTTCTGAATTAATCCTCTGTGACAGTCCAGTCCAGCTGTTCCCGTCTCGGTTGATTGTGTTCCCGTCTCGGTTGATTGGAATCAATCTAGCCTGCATGAGGCCTCTACCCTCCTCTAATCCCGCAAACCGCGAAAGCACTAAGTTCTTGAACTGCTAAACCCTGAGCTCTCAATCCCGAAACCCGAAACCGTCAGAAGACAGCAGTAACTGAACAATGTAACATCGGTAGTGGTTAATTACCTCATGCAAAACTAGTTACCTTACCTTGTTTTGAATTATGATTATAGTTACCGTGTTTTAAGATTACGAGTCTAGTTACCTTCTAATTTAAACTTATGAATATAGCTACCTGATGTGAACATGTATTGGATTCTTGGTACCCTATTGAAAGCCCCAAATACAAGATGCCCTAAACCCTAACCCACATACCCGAAACCCTAAACCCTAAACCCCAAACCCTAAACCCTATTCCCTAAACCCTAAACCCCTAAACCCTAAAGTCCCAGTTAGAAGATGTCCAAGACAGGCGACAGCGAGCTCCGAAGAGGATGCGAGTTCCCCGGGTCAGGACAGAGGGATCGAGAAGGCCCTTTGGGGTGTCTTTGTTGAGGGTTTAGGGTTTAGGGTTTAGGGGTATCTTTTTTGGGTTTAGGGTTTTGGGTGTAGGGGTTTGGGACTCAGGTAAAGGGCTAAGGAATTTGGGGGTTTGGGCGGGTTTTGGAGCGAGGCTCATAACTAGGGCTTTCGAAGCAATGAATTCAGTCGGGGCCAAGGTTTGCAGGGCGCAGATAGGTGCAGAGCTCAATATAGGGGCCTTAATAATTAGAATAGGGTTCGGGGTATATAATACTATATTATAATAAGGAAGCCCCAAAACCCTAATCTAAATATTAATTAAGGCCCCTACATTACACTTGTAGTTGTGAAGTGCTGCGAGAACCAGGGTTCAGAGACAGTCCGTCGAGAGTTTCGGAACTGTTGTCCACGCAGTCCCAACCCCACACCCCGGAGCCTAGCCCCTAAACCCTAAACCCTGAACCCTAAACCCTAAACCCTAAACCACAAACACCAGAAGCCTTTCAACACCCAAGCCATTGAGCCTCAAGTTCTGATAAGCGCATAACCTCCGCCCCTTCACACCACCATATTTCAACGTTCAGGGGGAAATCCCCGTATGTAAGGTGACGAAGGTCCCTCGAAGTTCTTGCTGCAGAGGAGCAGCAGCCCGTCCACGCCAAAGCCGCAGTATCCGAGAAGGCCAGCAGATCCTAGTAGGGCTTACAGTAGATAGCCCAAAAGTTGGAAACCCAATAGCCTCCATCCTGAAGGGTAATGTAGACGGAATCCCAGCACTAATTGTCCTTAATCCGGTTTCTAACTTCTGTTGGGTTTACTATAAAGGAATTCTTATAGATCCCTTAAAGGAACCCTTATAGATTCCCTGTTAAACAAACCCTTAAAGGAGATTGGGTTTACTAGACTGTAAACAACCATAGCCCATCGGCCAGCCAGAAGCAACTTTGACCTCGAGCTTCGGGCTTGCTCTCTGTGTCCAGGGTCCCTATGAATATATAAATAAGCAGATACGCATATAGATGCACAAATGGATATAGACATGTAAACTTGTTTCCAAGCATTTGCGTACGTGTATACATTATATTATATATATATATATGTATGTATATATGTATACACATGACAATATGCATAAATACATATTGAGAGAGAGAGAGAGAGTCTTTCAATTGTTTAGGGTGTGAGGGTATGATATGGTGTATGGAGCCTAGGACTCGGATGTAGGGTTCGGAATCAGAGGCATCCTGGAACATGACACTCTGAAGCGAAAGCACCACTACCGTGGCACTCTGAAGCCAAGAGGCCATTGTTCCGAAACTCTCAGCAGAGAGACTCGAATTCCGTTGAGCACGGCAAGCAAGAAGGTAGAAACTTGTCCCCTAAACCCTAAACCCTAAAACCCTAAACTCTAAAAGCCTAAACCAACATCAAAAGACAGGAGGACCCCGATACCGTTCCAGCGGCGGCTTCTGCGGCGCTGCCCAGTGAGGCCGTTTCTCACCCCGTTGACGCAGAGGCCTGGTTTCAACACGTTTTGGGGTTCAGGGTTTAGGGTTTAGGGTTCAGGGTTCAGGAGTTTAGGGTTTAGGGTTTAGTTTCGGGCGTGTGCGGACGGCTCGATATAGGCATCTCATGAAATCAGCACTGTTGTTGGGATGTAGCCTTCACAAGTTTGCTCCTGAAGCTTCGGCGCTCTGCCTGGGTTTACCTTTCTGGCTTCGCAAGTCGCAATTGCCCTGTGTTTTGGCAACTTCCACCATCATCAGTACGAGTACTAATAAAAAGTCCGCAGATTGCAGGAATGGGTTGAGGGTGCAGGCTGCTGAACCTTCACCTGCTTCACGTGAGTTCTTGCAAGGCAGAGTGTGTTCTCCGTGATGACGGTCTTAATCGGGCACTTACAGTGACACTTCAACTTTCTGCAGCTCTGTGAGGTTCGAAAACCATAGGACTTCCACAAGGTTTCAGGCCTACTCCTCAAACCAGCGGTCCCGTGCCCTAAACCCTAAACCCTAAACCCCTAAACCCTTATAAACCCTAAACCCCTAACCCATAAACCCTAAACCCAAACCCTAAACCCTGAACCCTAAACCCCTAAACCCTAAACCCTAAAACCCCTAAAGCCTAAACTTTTGCCAGCCTCCGCCGGCTCCGCCGGTGCCGTCGCAAGCGGTGAATACTGTGGAGCAAGCCCAGGACCAGACTTTCCTTAACCTACCAAAACCAACTTTTTTGTAGGTTATAAACCCTAATATGGAATTTATAGGGACCTTTCAAAAAAGTAGGATTTGGTAGGTTAAGGTTGCCATTGCCCGATTCGGGTTTAGTTCAGTGTTTAGGGGTTTATGGGGTTTAGGGTTTATGGGGTTTAGGGCTTATAAGGTTTAGGGCTTATAGGCCTTATCGGGTTTAGGGCTCTGGGTTTTGGGCTTCTTGGGTTTAGGGCTTGTAGGGTTTAGGGCTTATGGGGTTTAGGGCTTCTAGGGCTTTGGGCTTTGGGTTTATGCTTATTTCGGGTTTGGGCTTCGGGGAGCTTGCATCAGATCCTGAACCCGCTCAATCATAGAGGGGCCTTAGTAATTGGAGCAGGGTTTTGGGCCCATTATACTAGAATTAACATAATGCCTAAACCCTAAACCCTGAACCCAAAAGAGTATAGGTAGTTATGAAGGCCCCTACATTACCCCCCGGAGTACCGCCGACGCCATGGTTTACGCAAAACCCTAGCGTCCCTGGAGCTCATAAGCCCCAACCCTAAACTCCTAATCCCTAAAAGGCCAACAAGGTGAAGCACACGATCCAATAAGATGGCATCCGCTCATAAGGAAATTTCATGTGAACAACATCATGTTCAGCAAGCGCGGCCATTCAAACAATGCCATTACTAGGCCTTTGTGCTTTGGGCTTGTAGGTGTCTCTCGAGTTTAGGGTTCATGGCTTTTGTCTGTCGTGCTGTTTCTCTTGATTACACCGCTTGCTTGCCTGAGACCTAGTGAAGCCACGCGCTGCTTAGGACTCAGATGTTTCGATTCCCTAAATCCCAAGCGCGAAGCCTAAACAGTTCCCGGCCCAAGTCATAAACCTGAAACCATCTTACATCCCGTTTAGGGTTCAGGGGTTTAGGGATTTAAGGTTTACGGACTTAGGGTTTAAGGATTTGGGGTTTAGGGTTGCCTTTACCCAGGAGCTGGTCCAGCGGACAAGGCCTCTGCTCGAGGCTGCTAGCCACGTTTTGGCTTGTGGAGTTCATTGGGTACATGTGTCGAATTTGCTCTAGACCCAAACGCTATTTAAACCCTGGACCTAAACACTAGACCGTAAACCCTAAAGCCTGAACCCCCAAACTCCAAGTCCCTAGACCCTACCCAAAGGGTCCAAGTTATAGTAGAGTATATACTTTGGGGGCCCAAATACCTACAAAGTAGCTACCATATTGGCACTTGGACCCTTTGGGCTAGTCGCGTGGTAGGTCCGAGCGGGTCTGAAACTTGCAAGCCGAAAGCTGCGCGATTGGCGCGAGCGGCTAAGGTGAGACGTAAATCCTGCACCCCCCAAAGTCTAAGTACCGATATAGTAGATATTTTGGGCCCCAAAGTATCTACCATATTAGTACTTAGACCCTTTTGGCCCTACATCCTAGATCCCCTAGACTTGAGTTCAAGCTTGATCGACAGAGTCGAAATGAGACGCTTTGCCTCCAGACTCACCTCAGAGACCGAAATCCAAAGCAAGAAAACATGGTACGCCAGGGCATCCAGCATCCATCGAGACAAGCGGTCGAACCCTGTCAAGGAATTCGCGAATTTGACGCGACGGGGCCGGTCATTCGCTTGCCACGCCAAGCGGCATGAAAACGCTTCGAAGTGATGCTGAAGATGGCAAGCGATTGGGAAGTCTCTCCCAATGATGTTGGAGTCGTCCCCCCGACAGTCCGGCAGAGGGGTACGGTTGATGATATAAATCCTGCATAGGAATATACCAGAATTCCCATAGTTTAGGGTCCTTAAGGTCATATTACCCATAATAAGGAACACCATCATTCCTATAGTTTAGGGTTCTTAAGGTACTGCAAGCTTTTTTTATCCGGAACAGTACGTCATTGACAAGCCCGGCAAAGGTGATTTTTGTTGAGTCGGGAAGGGCTCTGGGCTTTGGGGTTTAGGGTTTAGGGTTTAGGGTGTAGGGTTTAGGGTTTAGGGTTTAACCCAAAGGGTCCAAGTGCCAATATGGTAGCTACTTTGTAGGTATTTGGGCCCCCAAGGTATATACTCTACTAGAACTTGGACCCTTTGGGTTAGGGGTTTCGGGTTTAGAGTTACGGGGTGTAGGGTTCGATTAGGAGTTTAGGGTTTTAGGGTTTAGGGGTTTTGGGTTTTGGGGTTTAGGGTTACGGGGTCTAGGGTTCGATTAGGAGTTTAGGGTTTTAGGGTTTAGGGGTTTTGGGGTTTTGGGGTTTTGGGTTTAGGGTTGCAGGGTCTAGGGTTCAGCGGTTTAGGGTTTATAGTTCATCGCCCCCTTCCAAGCCACCGATGCTTGGAATCAGCCCCTGTCTGTAGGCCTCGTCAAAGCAGGGAAATGAGGTGTTGGTTCAGTTCTTGTTTCAGGGTATGGCTTGCCTGGTGGCGCACTGGGAAAATCAAGAGCACGAAGTCTTCGCTTGCTCCAACTCTTGATCAGTCGGCGTCAGCGCGCTTTCCGTCGGTGGCCGGACTGGTTTACAGTACAGGCTGCTCCTGTTCTTGGTACTGACCCATTCCCATATGGGAGTTTCCGGAAAATAGGGGACCCTAATGTAGCACCCTAAATATTATCCTTAATACAGGAACCCCAAAATAACGTACCCCTAATTCTCGGAAATCCCCCTTTCCTTCCTCTGGTTCGTTGAGCCGAGTCGTACGTCCGGCTATAAACCCCTGCATCAAGCACCCAAAACCTTCCCCTAACCCGCAGGTGCCTACGGTATGGGGTACTAGAGCCCCTAGGGCCTCATATGGTATGTACCTGGAGGGTTATAGGTTCCTAAAAAATCATATCTGAAAATAAGCGCGAAACCTCGGCTATCCATGACCCAGTAGAAACATGGGTATAGAATCACACACGGCGCAGCGGCTGAACCAACCTGCAACTGATGTCTCTGTCAGTTTGAGAAAGCAGTCCTTCACTCGTTTGACTTGAGCTTAACGCAGAGCTGCTCCTGGACAAGTTCCAAACCCTCAGCGCAATTTGGGGGTTTCCGAAAATAGGGGACCCTAATATAGTACCCAAATAGAAGGATCCCTATTATAAGGACCCCAACATAAGGTACCCCTAATTTTCGGAAACTCCCATTTGGACCTCAAGCCCCATGGTGACATGAGCCTCTGATTGACGCAAAAACCACGCGGCGCAAAAAATGGCAACCTGCGTCCCAGGGACAACAACAGCATTCGATGGCCCCTAACCCCCCAGGTACCTACTATATAGAGTCCTGGAGCCCCTAAACCCTAAACCCTACTAGAGTTTTATAGGGCCCTATATAGTAGGTACCTGTTCGGCTCTGCTCTCACTTATAGCGTTCAGGGTTTAAGTTTAGGGGGTGCGGGGAAGAGCAGATCAGGAAACTCGGAATCCTCCCATATATTCTATATCGCAACCTTATAAACCCTAAACTATAGTTGGATGGGGGATGTCTGCTTTGAAGGTATGTCCGCATCTGTCTTATCAAAACATGATAAGGAAGTGTACATATACTATGAAAACATTATATATATATATATATATATCTATGTCTGATACGTACAGCATTCACCTAAAGATTGAGAGAACGTGTAGTGTCGAGCATTCTTCTCGCAATGCTTTTCAGCAGACTTGAACCGAAGCCGTAAAGCCCTGTAGTCATGTCAAGTCCCAAGCCCCACCCTTAAAGCCATCCTAAACCCCTAAACCCTAAACCCCTAATCCCCAAACCCCTAAACC